TTTTGTTATAATTTCCGTATTACTTATTTTTTTGTTTCTGTGTGCAATATGTAGTTCATTAAGAAAGTGATTTGTTTAAATGAAACAAAATTCAGAGTCTTATTGGATTTTTTTGGGGGGAAGCATTGCCCTGCTTAATATTTTTTTTTTAATTAAACATTTTAAAGAAAGACTATTAAGCAAGGAGAGAAAGATAATAGACCCGGGGAAAAAGATTCAAAGGTTACAAAGGCAAGCAAAATATGAATCGGGGAAGAAGGAAATCTAAAATACGGAGATTGTAATTTTCCAACCCATCCGTATAAAATTATAAAAGGCAATGTATCACTTAAAAACAACAACACTAAAAATCATTATTAAGCTTTAAGCTAAGTAATAGATATTAGGAGCCCTGACTACCATAGTATAAATCGCTGACTAGGAGAATTCTGAATGATCTCCGGAATTACTCCGAAAGTAATCTTATAGAACAAATTAGAACATAGCACCATAGGGCTGGAAGGAACCTTAGAGGTCTTATAGTCCAACCCCGCCCTGCTCAAGTCAGGAGAACTTACACTGTCCTGGTCAAATAATTGTCCATCTATTTCTGAAAACGTCCTATGATGGAGTATCACAACTCCAGGAAGCAAGCTGTTCCATTGATTAATTGTTCTCCCTGTCAGAAAATGTCCCCTTTGTTCTGGGTTGGATCTCTCTTCAACAAGCTCCCACCCATTGCTTCTTGTCCTGCTCTCAGGTGCTTTCGATAATAGATCAATCCTCTCTTCTCTGTCAAAATTGAACAGCCCTCTCTCAACAGAGGAGGAGGAGGAGGAAGAGGGACACAGCGTCATCTATCTCCAGTCTATAACATAGTCCTTTCAATAGTTCCAAGAAATGGAATAGTTCCACACACATTTGTACCACTTGAGTGGCGGATGAAACCTCCAAGTCAGTGGTCGCCAACCGGTGGGCCGGGGACCACTGGTGGTCCATGAGGAAATTTTGGTGGTCCACAGAGAAATGTTCCCCCCCACAAAGCAACTAATCCAGGCTACGCGGGAACACAAGGCTGCGTCGCCCACATGGCCCAAACCTTACACTGAGTAGAGCCGTGCAATTGGAACTGGAAAGTAAAACCAACAGCAGGGGAGGGAAAACCGTCCCAGGGTGGCTTGCTGACGCTGGTGGGGAAGTCGGTTCCCCTAGCCCAGAGCTGCAGGAGCCACAGGACTGGCCCTTTGGTCATCCAGGAGCAGCTGCTCCTGCAGTCCCTGGCAGGCTGGTTGCACACCCGGGTGGAGGAGCAGCTGCTCCGGGATGACCAAAGGGCCACTCCTGTGGCTCCTGCAGCCCTGGACTAGGGGACCAACTTTCCCATCAACGTCAGCAAGCCACCCTCAGTCAAAATTCATATTAGTGGTCCGCTGGACTTAAAATTATGAGTTTGGTGGTCCCTGTGGTCCAAAAGGTTGGCCACCCCTGCTCCGAGTGGCCTCAAGGACTCTCTAAAAGGATGCAAATGACCAGTTCCATTTGCAATGTCAACCCTTCCATTCCTCACCATCCAGTCGGAGCTGAAGAAGCCACGTACGTGAAAATTGCACAGCCCTGTCTCAGCAGAGGGAGGAAGGATGCGCCACCCCCTTTCTCCTGTCTACAGCACCGTCCTTTCAGCAGTCCCGAGAAGGCTCCACATCCATTTGCCCTGCTCAGGCGCGATCCTCAGGGCACAGATCAACCTCCAAGTGGCCTCAATGACTTTCAGAGAGAGTACAAACGGCCAGATGATGGCAAGGAATATAAATCCTTCCATCCTCCACCATTCAGTCAGAACTGAAGAAGCTTCTTGGATGACAAGTGAAACGTCTTCCAAAGAAAACCAGAAAGCCTCTTGAAAAAAAAAAAGAAAAGAAAAGAAAAAAGCACCTTTGGGACAACCAGGACTGGGATGAATGAGAGATGCTGGTTCCTTTTTATATTTCATCTGCCTTCATAGAAACCAAATAATTCCCCTGATCGGGGCCGATCACTCCGACTGAACTGTTCAGTGCATTTGGATTCAGATTTGACAACCTGAAAGCGTTTTGGCAGGCTGCTCTCTCCCCGAAAGTGAGGCAGGAGGTAAAATTTCCGATTATTCCATTTTCTGAATCTCTTCAACCTGCGTTCCACAAAGGGACAATCGGATTTTGCACCTTGCTTTGCATAAACTGGGCCTGCTTGCTCGACGGGGGAGAATATTCTGGAACCATTCCCAGGGACTCTTTTTCTGCTGACAACACCTGGAGGTAATGCCCAAGGTGTAATTAACTCGACACACTGCCTTACTACTCTTCTAAATGCGCACCAGAGGGGTTTACTGCAGTAAGACAAATCACACGTGGAGGCTGTAAAATGGCTGTAAAATTGATCCAATTATAATTAAAATAAATAATGCGAAATGAAGAGGAGGCAGAGTTCATTCTCTTTCCAAATATTGTCATATGGAAAACTATGAATCATCCTCCCAATTTTTTTTCTGCAATGCCCAGCAAAGAGAGCCACAGAAATAGTCTTAACATGCAGCCATGAAACTTGTGTAAAACAAGAGATATTTTGTAGGGCAAGCATATACCATTCTGCATATTAGTAAACATAAAATCAGATTTAATCTAGATTTGTTCCAAGGGCTACATTTCCTGACAGATGCATTTGATGCCTGAGACTTTAATGGGATATTGCATTCTCCCTTTTCTGTTTAAACTCGCATCTATTAAATCAGCTTTCTCTGGGCATCCAGAGAGGAAAATGAAATCATGACATTACATTCAGGAGAAGAGTTATATAATTGGCATCATGTGTGATTTCTATAGAGGTTCTCAGTCATCTAGGTCGTGGTTGTCCCAAAGGTGTTTTTTTTTTGTTTTCAAAAGGCAACTGGACTTTGTTTTTCCTTGAAGACATTTCGCTTCTCATTCAAGGAGCTTCTTCAGCTCTGAGTGAATGGTGGAAGATGGAAGGATTGATATTCGTTGTAGTCCTCTGGATGTTAGCACTCTCTCTGAGAATCATTGAAGGTTTATCTCTGCCCTCAGGGTCACACCCATTTGCACTCTGATTCTGGTGACTCCCAAGGGCACAGATAAACCTCCAAGTGGCCTCAACGACTCCCAGAATGAGTACCAATGACCAGAGGACTGCAAAGAATATTAATCCTTCCATTTTCCACCATTCCCTCAGAACTGAAGAAGCCTCTTGGATGAAAAGGGAAACATCTTCAAGGAAAAACAAAGTCCAATTTCCTTTTGGAACAATCATGTGTGATATCCTGATGCTCATGACCTCATTCTGGTTTCTAGTAGGTTTTCCTAAGTTGACATGCTCCAGAGAGCTCCATGGGTGGATTTTCAAGACTACTTGGGAGATAAGAAAGCTGTATTCTGGTGGTTACCAGGTTGGAAGGCTGCTGCGTACAAAATGTAAATATTTAAAAATGTATGAAGTTCTTCTCTTAACTTTTCCTTCAGGGCTATTTCCTGTTATTCCTTTTAGTTTGTAAAAAAATTCTGGCTGGACTATCATCATCGCAATCCTGAAATATATTTCCTGAGACTCAAAACTATGATCAAAGGAATTCTATTTAACTTTTTCCATTTTTTGTCCTTAGAAAGAGACTTCACATCCAACCCAGTTCAGCCCGAGTATGCCTCTCTGTAATTAAAGCATTATGTGTCTTCCATTTCCTGTTTCTTAACTACACCAAGCATCTTTCATTATTTTATTTCATTTTTAGTTTTTCATCCTTCCTATTAACCATTTCAGGATTTTGTAACAATCTGTGTGGCAAAACACATAAGAGAATATCGTCTCATGTGCGAAATATCTAAAATTCCCAACAGTCAGTAGGAAAAACTCTTGATTAATATACATTATTTAATATACATTAATATATTACATTAATGTACATTAATATACATTAATATTGTGTTTGGTATTATCATTATTTTATATTATTTATGTTATTATCTCCTTTGCAGCGTTCTTCCCCCCTTCCCAAAAACCATTCACAAAACAGACACACCCTGAGTAAATTCAAAAATGCATTTTACACAATAAAGAACACAATAACCTACACAACGGTGTTTACAATGTAACAATGGTCAAGCAACCAAACCAGGAAATTTCTTTCTCACAGCTGCACCGATTGTATATTGTCTTCCTTCCCTTGATCCAAAGTATGGAGAGAAAATAATTTAATTGTTGGTCTTGCCTGCATTTCATGGGTTTTGGCCAAAATTAAGGAAGGCTTTTCCTTGCCAAGAATATATTTTTAAAGGAGAATCTCAGCCGCAAGCCAAAATATATACTTAAGTCGTTTCTTATCTATGGCCAAATCCAGGAATATTTGCAGAAAGAGGTTAAAAGGAAATCAAAATGGTGGACACAATTGTTGTAGCTGCCATCTTGGTTTCTTTTCTTAACCGCTCTTGGCCAAAACTCTGGAACTTGGGTAGGAAGGGGACCATAATAATAATAATGACAGCAATAATTTGAATGTGTATATCACCCACTCTCTACAATGCTTTATGAAAACAAGTGATAATAAAACATCGAATGTCATCATAAACCCTCTAAAATATTCGCAGTAAGAGCAAGCAATTTAAACATTTAAATGACGCATTAAAACTGAAGCAAAAAAACCAAAAAAAAATCAACTGGGATAATTAATTAGTATACAAATTTCCCCCTAGTCACAGAATAGCTCCGTTTCTTTAATCAGCATCATCACACGGATTTCTTGGAATAGAGATACCCCATGTGTACTATCTGTACTTAGTAATTTGGATTCTCTGTGGTTTGGAAGAGCAATACTTCGGTGGAATGAAGTCAGGAGTCATAGGAGAGTGGGTCTTTTTTTCCAGAAGGCAAGACAAGCACCACCACCACCACCCCCAAAAAACCAACCAAGAGAGACATTGACTCGGGAGTAAAGGCAAAGGTGAACAGTGAATGGCCCCTCCCATAGGGAATAAAGAGGAGGGGGGGATTTGCAGGAGACAATTAATTTGTTTAATTAGTGTGAAGATTTATTTGTGACTCTCAGAGACCCCTTGCCAAGGATTTCCTTGGACAGCACTGCACTTGAAAGCTATCGGCCTGGCAGCTCTCCAAGCCTGATAAGGTCCGTGGTTGTAAATTCACCCTCGAAAGACTGTTTGCCGGAACTTTGCTAGATGCGAAGGATAGGAATTCACAAAAGGGGGTTTTGTGGAGACGGGGTGTCTGCTTCTTGTGATTTTGGGTAGCCCAGGTCAGAACAAGAAGCAAGCAGCCCTCCCCACTCCTGAGACCCCAGACCACATTCCCCCACAAATCCCAAGGAACTGATCAGACACTTCAAAATGAGTCCCAGCGATCTTCTCCCGGTCCAATGGTTGAAAAGTTGGGGGTGCCTTGTGAGGGTTCACAGTCTGTGTGAGCTATGGACATTCCAGGGCAGATAACTTTCCATCTTGCTATATTTCCGCCCCCCTCCACAACTTCCCGGGTTTGATGCCTTATATTTTGCACCAACTCAGTTATGAGATTTTAGACCCAGGAAGAGTAAATGGTTGTCTGGAAGCAGAGGGGAGGAAGGAATAAAAAAAAAGTCAAGATGGTGGTCAAGATGGTGGTCCCGCCCTTATTTTTGCACGTGTCCAATGACCTTGGTGCAAGGGGGCGGGAATGGGGCTGTGATTGATGTATTAGATCAGAGGTCTCCAAACTTGGCAACTTTAAGACTTGTGGACTTCAACTCCCAGAATTCAAAAAGGAAAATTATGGGTAGGTTTGGCTTGAGGAAGAGAGAGAGAAGTAGCAAGACAAGCTGTCGACAAGAGAGACCATTGTAGACCAATGTAATCAGATACCAGGTTCATCCTACCATATGTGGCGGACGTGCCCAAAGGCAAAAAATACTGGACTAAAATACATACTTGGTTAGAAAAAATGATAAAGCAACACATAGATTTGAAACCAGAAATATTCCTGGTAGGTATATTACCAGAACAGGATAATAAAGGGAAGGCCTACTTAATTTTACATGTCTTAATGTCAGCAAGAATTGTGCTTGCGCAAAAATGTGAAAATGAAGAGACTTGGCAACTTTAAGACTTGTGGACTTCAACTCCCAGCTATGCTGGCTGAGGAATTCTGGGAGTTGAAGTCCACAAGTCTTAAAGTTGCCAAGTTTGGGGTGCCCTGTATGAGACAGTTGCCCTCCCGTCGATAACCCTGGAAGCTCTCTGGAGGGTTAGCTGGGCTGCCTAGAACTTTAATAAACAAGCCAATAAGATCGAAGGCAGAGAGGGGACGACTAATAAGCGATTCCATTAATTCAATTAAAGATCTCTTCCCCCGTGCCGCCCCGAGCGGAGTCATCGTAGCATCCTGGCAAGGGCCCCCCCACAAAATGCAGAGGTGGTTAATTACCTGCACGAGAAGTTCCAACTTCCTGTCGTCGAGGAGGTGAACCTGGCACCGGCGGCCCTCTGTCATCTAGGAAAGAGAGAGGGGGGGGGGGAAACCCAGTGTTAACAGATGCTGAAGTCACAAACTTGGCAACACACGGCAGTCAATGTGCTGAAGACGCAGCTGGTCCAAAGGCTGAGGGGGGAGCAAAGGGGTTTTTCAATTTTATTTTTTGAGCCCTGTTGAAGATTTCGCTGGAACCAGAAAGAGGGGAATAAATAAGCGACTTGCCCTGCCAGCTGTTGGTGCCCAGCACATGTTGGCACATATTTTGACTTGCCCTAAGTGGGGGGAATGGTGCCAGGCTAAGAGCGGACTTAGAATAGAATAACAGAGTTGGAAGGGACCTCGGAGGTCTTCTAGTCCAGCCCCTTGCTGAGACAGGAAAACCTTTACTATTTTAGACCAGTGGTTGTCCGGTCTCTTCTTTAAAGCCTCCAAGTGATAAGGAAGGAAGGTGTGATGACCCAAAGGGGCGTGGCACAAAGGCAACACAGATAAGCAACAAGAGTCTCTTTATTATCTCCAACTTTGCCCCCAATGTCCAGGTTACCTTCTGGCTGGAGAAAAACTCTCCCAGGAACAGTTTTTAACTGTAGAAAATCAAGCCCAAAATAGGGTCAACACAAACTGTAACTTAAAGTCCAAACAAGCTAAACTGAAGTAATTAGTTTGGCAGGGCAGGAGCAAGAATTTGAGACTTGAAGGCACAGCAAAACCCACATGGTTGGGAAGAGGCCAGGAACACAGATAAGACACTGCGACACAAGATAAACTCATGTTTACTCCCGGCAGCCTGCTACACGCAGCCTGCCTTTCTTATCAACTCCCTTCTCAGGTGTGGCTAATGAAGGGAATCAGGGCCTTTTCCTCCCCCGTAAGCCATGTTGCTCCCTTCTCCGTTCCTCCCTGCGTGCCCTAGGATGAAGAGGGAGGTGGGCCTGGATCTTCCTCCGAATTCCCTCTCCCTAGTTCTACCTCTCCCCTGCTCTGCCCAACCAGACTTTGCCCTTCCCCAGTTTCCCTCCATAGCCAAGGGAGCCACACTCCCCCTCCCTGTCAGCTGCTTGGCCTCCCCCTCCGAATCAGATTCCAACAGGGGCATGACAGAAGGGCTGAGGGAGGGAGAGGAGGGAAAAGAAGGGAGGGAGGGAAAGAGGGAAGAAAGAGAGAAAGTGGTCATAAGTTGAGGAGTACCTGTACAAGATGCTTCTTTGGCATATAGGTCCTAACATAGTCTACATCTAGGTTATTCTCTTAAGACCTGCCTGTCCTAAAATCTTCAGAAAGGCCTATTTTGCAGGTCTCAACAAATTCAACACACTGCAACTCACAATTTTTTTGTCTGTTGGCCCCAGGAAGCCCTTCTTCTCAGCGCAAAACTCTGGATATTTATGGGGTGCAGGGTCTTCACTGAGGGCTGGACTACAAGGAGAGGACAATCGTCCTGCACAATGTATTTTGCCAACTTAGTGCCGGATCCTTGGATCTTGTCTACCGTGTCCAACGTGTGCTAGAAATGTCCCATGACATATCCCGGGCAACATGGAAAATATACACGTTAGAAAATTGGCGTTGAGATCTCCACTTCCTGTTAAACCATCCCTCGATGAAAGCATCGGTGGAAATATCTGAATTCGTCTAGGAAGGAGGCAGTTCTGTGTGGTCGTTGTGTGTGTGTGTATGTGTGTACACTTAATTAAAGCAGCAACTGCTTGTAGATCAGCTCGCACCCTGACAGCTAAAGGAATTCCTTCAGGCTTCTTACCTGGAATGATGGAATGATGATAGAATAACCGAGTTGGAAGGGACCTTGGAGGTCTTCTAGTCCAACCCCCTGCTAAAGCTGGAGACTTGATATCATTTTGGACAAATGGTTGTCCAATCTCTTCTTAAAAACTCCCAGTGTTGGAGCCTCCACAACTTCTGGAGGCAAGTTGTTCCACTGGTTAATTGTCCTCACTGTTAGGACGTTTCTCCTTGGTTCTAGATTGGTTCTCTCCTTGTTTAGTTTCCATCCATTGCTTCTGGTTCTACCTTCAGGTCCTTTGGAGAAGAGGTTGACCCCCCCTCCTCTTCTTTGGGGCAGCCCCACAAAAATTGGAGCACCGCTATCTTGTCAAGGTGAACGAACGATACCTTGACTTCGGTGCAATGAAGCCTGGGGGAAAAGAATTTTGAATTATGGGGCCCTTTTCATGCTTCAACTACTTTCTCTTAACAAAGAGCAGTAGCTTATCAGACTTTCCAAAGACAGCAAATTCTTCGACTCCCCCTGTACGGTAGTCCTGGACTTACGACCGCAATGGAGCTCCAGTGTTGGTAAGTGGGATGCTTATTAAGCGAGTTTTGTCCCGTTTCTGCCGTTTTTCTTGCCGCCGTTGCTAAGTGAGTCATTGCATTTGTTACGTTAATAACACGGTTGTTAAGGGAATCTGGGTTTTGCTTGGCAGAAGGTTGCAAAAAGGGATCACGTAAACCCTGGGACGTTGCAACCGTCATAAATACGAATTGGTTGCCAAGAGTCTGATTTTGGATCATGTGACCATGGGGAATGCTGGAATGGTCGTAAGTGTGAAAAAAAAAATGGCCCTCAGCTACTTTTTTTCAGTGCCGTTGTAACTTTGAACGGTCAGTAAATGAACTGTTGTAGTAATTCGAGGACTGTCTGTAACTGGATCCTGTATTTTTTCTCTCTCTCTCCTTGACTTCTGGGTTCCACACTCCGATGTTTCAGAAAAAGCGGCAGCGCGAGAGATTCTGTGACTTCTTGAAACGATCCTTAGAAACAGAGACACGGTAGAAACCGCCCTTCGAAAGCCGTTGACGTTCTGTTTGGAGTTCATGAATTAACCCGAAGTTCTACGTTTTTCACGGACGATATTAAAATGATCATCTGTTGCCAGATTGAAAAAATAAAATAAAATAGGGATAAACAGCAGCTAGCGATGGATTGGGCAATCCTAAAAATAAATATCTAAAGGGCTGCCACAAAGAAGAAGAAGGCGGCGGCGGGGAGGTGTGCCAAATTGTTCCGCAAAGCACCAGAAGGCAAAGACAAGAAATAACGGATGGAAACTCATCCAGGAGAGAAGCAATCTGGAATTAAGGAGCGGTTTGTTAACAGGGAGGACAATGAACCGGTGGAACAGAAGTTCCCTTTAGGATTTGTAGGTGCTTCATCACTGGAGGCTTCTAAGAAGAGACTGGAGACTGGATTTTGTTCAAAATGGTATAGGCAGGGGCTGGGATTCAGCCGGTT